AAGAAAGAAAGAAAGAAAGAGGGAGAGGGAGAGAGAGAGAAAGCAGGAAGAGAAAGGTTTGGCTTAGGTCATGTAAAAACGAGAACGAGAAGAATCAGGCAACAAAAGAAAAGCGTCCTTTTTTTCTATTGCTGATTCGAGTTAAATTCCCGAACCCCAGGGCAGCGTCCTGCAATCACTGGGGGGGGGAATACGAGTTGTGCGTGTCCCCGCCAGTGACCACAGCATCCTGTAGTCAAAGGCAGGGTAGAACCTCCCACACACCGGTGTGATTTCGAGCGAATAAAAACGAGTTAGGAGAGGTTCTGCAATGTGGTGCGTGACCAGCCAGTAGGAGCCAAAGTAGAAGGAAACAAGGTAGTGGACCCAGAGGCCGAGATGGGCCGGGAATGGAGAATAATGGAGAGGCCTAGAGGAAGCTCAGAGTAGCCAGTGAATGGAGGGAGAGGAGAGAGAGAGGGGGGAGAGAGAGAGAGAGAGAGAGAGAGAGAGAGAGAGAGAGAGAAGATGAGATGTTAGGGGAAGGCAAAAGATGGCAGGAGCGAGGAAGGGAAGGGAGCTGAGGTAGGGAAAAGGATTTGAGTGCGATGGGGAGGCAGGTGTGACTCCCAGGTGGGTGTGGACAGACACAGTAACTGTCCCGGGCAGTTCAACGGTCGCAGAAACCAGTGCTGTCCAGTGGCCGTGAGTGAGGTCCAGGAGTGACCAAATTTGATTGGAAAGGAGATGAAAAGAGAACTGGTGGAGAGTAGTGAAGGGGAAAGGGGAGAGAGAGCTGAAAGGAACGGGAGAGGGGAGAGAGCTAGAGGGTGGAAGTGTACCTCAATGCAGAATCAGTGGTGTTCGCAGCAGCCAGTAACAACAAGCGAGTCCAAAAGTTTTGCGTGCGAGGTCCCTTGAAGTAAGAGCCGGGTTTTGGCACCATCTGATAGGTAGGAATGTTGGAGAGAGCGTGCGGGTGGTGGAGAACATGAGCGGATGGATGAGGCACTGAGGCACAGATGGAATTCTCAGCGGGATACAGATTTATTTCGCACGGAGCACCTTTCCCTCGGGGAAGGGAGAGATGTCAGGGAAAGATGTCCGCCCACGGGTTGTGAGCTGGGACTTTATATTTGGGGGCTTTAGGGTGTGGAAGGGGGGAATGTTTGGGGGAGAAATCAGGGAGGGGGAAGCAGGTAGGATTAGGGTCTGGAAGTGTTTACTTTTTCCCTCTTAAGATAAGAGGAAATCTGCTTAGCTTTGGAGGTCAGAGGAAATGCAGGCTGTTTCTCAGCAGAGTTTGTTCTTCTTGACCTCAAAGGTCAAGGTGCTTATCAGCTAAGTTCCCTTTTCCAGGCTCCAAAGTCTGTAGGTCCCTGTTGGGGAGGGGTGGAGCTGCTGCTAATTGGAACCCTAACACTAGGTGCCTATGTACATTAACTCAGTCCTCACAGTGAGCTGTGAGATATTACCTTATTACTCCCATGTCAAAGACAAGATGCTTGGGCACAGAGAGAGTAAGTAACTTGCCTCAGGGCACAGAACTAGTCATTGACAGGGCTAGGATGTGAACCCAGACAGTCTGGTTCCAGAGCCCAGCCCTGTTACCACTGCAGCCAACTGCCTCATTCTCATGGAGGGAGTATTGACCTAAGCCAATCAAGTGTGGGACCTTGAAAGTGAACTTGAGAATCAATGACTGTTGTTTCAAGCTGAGTCCTGTTACCTCCTGCTCAGATATTTGTCTGTTTTACCAAGGATGAACAGAGGTGTAAATGCTGAGTGCCTCCTAGAATGAAGTGATCTGAAAACACTGTATGTGCTTGTGTGAAATGAATAAAGGACATGTAATTTGGGGTACTCATGTAGGTGACGTAGGGTGAGACTAAGGGCTCACTTTCTGGCCTCATCTCTGTCCCTCAAGGAACACTGAAATGGTGAGAGAAGGTGAAGACAGACTGGGAGCCTGAGGAGTTTGTGCAGTCTTTCTGCAGATCTTTCTCTTAGATAAATGGAAAGGGTTTCATTTCATTTGGAGGCCTTCAACTGACTGAGTTACAAGGATTCTAAGAGCCCATGACTGTTTATGCTATTGAGTCGCTCCTCTTCTTCCCAACAGGCTCCTCACAGTCCTGCTGCAGCAGTCCAACCTCAGTGAAATCAACCACCAGGATACAGAAGTGAGTCTGTCCTCCCAGCCAGTCCATCATTCTGCATGTGAGGATGAAAGGGGGCTTTTGCACACCCGCGTGCTTCCTCTCACAAAGGAGGAAATGGAGCATGTATCTTTGTTCCTACCCTGAAAGGGAAGCCTATGTCTTCACTGTCGGTACACAGGCAGAAAATGTATGGCCACAGTGGGTGTGGGTCACTTCTGCTAGGGAAGGGCTTTACTGCAGTAAGTACTTAAGTATTAATCATATGGCTGACATTTTGTAATTTCCCTCTGGACATTGAGAAATAGATATTGCTCTCTACTGTCTTTTCAAGTCCCTGAAACTTAGATGACAAGTGATAGCTCTAGACGTACTCTCTCTGAGTTAAAGAGGTCAGAGAGAATAGTTCCAGGCTATTAATTCCAGCATCCACATTACTAATCCCAGGGATCACAATTGCTGTTTCCTTCATGTTGCTAAGGCACTCTTGGGAAAGGTATCCAAAAAAAAAAAAAAAAAAAAAAAAAATA